TTGACGATATCTTTCAGCCGGTCCTGGGCTGCCTCGGCATCGGCCTTATACTGGGCCACCATCTCGTCGGCATCAGCTTTGGTCACTTCAACCACCGACTTGGATGCTTTAAGCTCCTTGGCAAGGGTCTCTCGATCGGAAATAGCCGAGCTTAGCTGAGACTGGAGCTCCTCAATCTTTTGGGACCATGCCTCAATCTTCTCCCTCGTCGCTCGAAGCTGGGCCTCCGCCGAGGTCAACTGCGCCCGGGTTGTCTCCTTTTCCGAGGCCAGGCGGTCCATTCTGCCTCTCCACTCTTCGGCCTCGACCTTGACTGCATCCATCTTGGCTCGGAGTTGGTCGATTCGATCAATCTTCTGTTGGACCTGCGGGTTCCGACCGTTAGTCACTATGTCTAGCTCATCGTCACTAACTTCAAAAAATTTTACCTGTTCAACCAGGTCGGCATGTTCTTTCTGAGTCGCTTCCAACTCAGCTCGAAGGCTATTAGCCTCTCCTTCACGCTGCTCGCTGAGAAGTTTGTATGTGTCTCTCTTCTCAGTAAGCTCTCTAACTTCAGCTTCGAGTTGGTTCAGCTCATCTCGATACCGGAGGAAAGTTTCTTGGTGAAGTACCGAAGCCTACAAATACGAAGAAAAATGTTAGGATTATCCATGAATTAGTTCAAGTATAAGAAAAGAAATTGAAGTCATCGAGAGTTATCCAAAGTTACCCGGTTCAGCGCCTGTTGTGCTTCGTTGAACCGACAGGGCGCATCTACCTCGTTCATTTTGGCTTGGTCTTCTTCGGTCATCAGACACCGAAGGTAACTGGCCACCCCTACGGGGGTGGAAAGGACCCGGGCATCCTCCGAAACGGTGATGATGATAGACCGCTTCCGATCAAGATCCACACTCGGGGCAGGGAATCAGTTGATCAGTTTTGGGCTCGAGTTAGGCACACCTGCCCCGAGGACGGACTCTTCCTCGGTATGTCACCTAATCCGGTGACGTCTTCCGTGGCGGTGGAATCCACGCCATCAAAAAAGCAGCGGAGGGGGTCTTTCACTCCATGGGCCCCCTTGTTGGGGTGCTCTTTCACCGTTTGGGCCTCGTTGAACATGGACTCAGTGAACGAGGGTGACTCGGTGATGTCTATCACACCGAGTGCCTCCATCGGGGCACTACCCGCATACCGGGAAGCCTCGACCCCGATCTCATCATCGACCTCCCTGGCTTGAGGCAGAACCGCCTCACGAATCTCTGGTTCAGGGGCCCCTGCTCTTCGAGCTGCAACGGATCGCGGGCCACCATAACAAAAGGTTCTTCTTCTTCGGATTCGTCCCTCAGCCGATAAAGCGAATCTGAAGCTGGTGCTTGGGCGTTGGTGTTTTCTATTGACTTTCACACTAGCCTTCTCCTTGTTTTCTTTTTCTCCGAGCTCAGGGAACTCGAAGCTCTCTTCCTTTTCTTCTCTTCGGCCTGTCTCAGAACAAGGGACTCGGTAGGTAAGTCCTCGCCACCACTTGGAGGCCTCAGCTCGACATCCTTAGATAAACCTGCGAAAAGAAGTAAAGGGAGTAAGGGATTAATGTTAAAAGAGGTATCCTAATACTACCTACTCGGGAAAGAAGTCTCACCATGGGAACGGGCCTCCCAACGACTCTTCGAGAGCTTACGCCATGAACGCTCGGAATAGGGCATCTGTGATACGATACTCTCGACCTACTCCTTGAGTTGAGGGACATTATTTGGGACCCGAGCGACGGTTGAACCACCACAAAGCACCAATAATAAAAAGAGAAGTAAGTATAAAATTGACATTCGAAAGTAAATCTTACTTACGTGAGGTATTCCACTTCTCAGGAAATAGCCTGCACTCAGCCGAGATTAAGTCTGAAGTCCTCACTCGAACAAAACAGCCTTCCCAGCCCCGATCCCGGTCCTCATCAATACTTGAGAATGGGGCTTTACTGGCCTGAAGCACAAGCTTTATCAGTCCCCCCTCCCCCCTCCCTCCCGGAAGATTCGGGAACTGTATAAGCTAAGAAGATGGTCGATAGTGAACAAGCACCCATCGATTTTGTTCACAATAAACCGGAGGAGGATCATGATCCTCCAGAGCGATGGGTAAATCTGGCCAAGGCACACATTGTACCTTCTGCAAAAATCCAAAATGACCGGATCCATCAGGCCCAGTATAAAGGGATAAGTGTAAACACTTAGGTATCCCTCGATATGGGTAGTAATGACTTCATCAGGGTCGGGGACCACTATGTCCTTATTGTCCCATTTGCAGTCTTTTCGGACCATAGAGAGGATCTCTTCGATGATCGAGCAGATGTATCTCGAGACCTCCTCACACCGGCCTTGTACGAAGGAAGGCTTTTCGAAATCGACGTTGACCGAGCATCCCCTGGGGATGAACATTTTCAAAGGGGGTTCAGGTACTGGTTCATCAACGGCGGTGCGTGAAATAGTCTCCTCGGCCTCAGTAGTCGGCTGCGAAATAGAAGGAGTTTCTTTCTGGGGAACAGTTTTGGAAGTCTTTGCCATTTCTTTAAAGAAATGGAGAAAAGTCTGAGAAAGGTGGAGAAAGAAAGGAAGTTAAAGGATTATACTTGTTGGCTTGAGATGAAGATGGGTAAAATCTTTGTAAAGGACCTCGAATAACCGGAGTAAAAGTGCTAAATAGTATTGAAATCTTAAAGGTACGAGGGTAGAAGGTTTGGATGTAAAGTTAAAATGAACAAAGGAAGGGGTATTTATAATGGTTCAACGGCGTTCCGCATTCAGGGACGACCGACCGACGGCTGACATGCATTTAATGCCATTATGACTTGACTGACGAGATGTTTCGGTTGTTTTGTCATTTCTGTCACCGTGTATCGAAATAAGAATCGGAAGCTCATATTGTTTCTCATCATTTACTCTCCGAGAAACGAGGGGACTATCTTTATACGGGTGAAATTGATCTCATGGTGCATCCTAGCCTCCGACAAAATAAGCCAGGCTCGAGACATGGCAACAAGGGATTGAAATCGAGCTAAAGTCCCATCGGGCCAAAACCCGGGGGTATGACGCCTGCCTTTGAGAATATTGAGGTCATGGTCCCGGAATCGGTCCTACCCTCGAACGACTTCGAAGGATATTGTCAGACAGTCCAGCATAGACAACAGGAGGCCGAAGTATCTGTGACTGGCCGAATATTACGGCGGGGATCTCGGCAAGTATCGATAAGGAACCGGCAATTAGTTAATAGAAGATTTTTTACCTTTTATAGAGTTGTACCTAAAATAGGATTCTCCTACTATATAAAGGGGGTCTGATAATTCATGAAAATATATTGTAACACGCACTAAAAAGCAATTATATTATTATTTTCTTTGTCTCCGGCTCTTGTTCGTTTTCATTTATACCGGTCTTGGTGAGCTCGGTTCAAGAGTGGCTATTTCATTAAGGCTGAAACTATCCAACTCGTGTGGTTTGAATTTATTTTATCTTTGTTTATTCAATAGCAACTAAATTTATCACTTTGTGTCAAATTAATCTGCGTATCCTTAAAACCACTTACAAATTTAATTATTATCCGATTTTGAGGGTAAACACATACCAAAATCAAAATACGGGCTTAAGTGAAGGAAAGATATATGCTGTAACAATAAATAAGTTGGTCCTCAAAAACAAATGAAATACAACAACATACTTCAACTCTAAAGTTCCTATCTAGACATATAATTACTTTGAGACGTTATTGTTGCGGCCAAACGCACATGCAAGTATACGCGATCGTCAAGTAATAAAGTGACTAAAAGTCGGATGTCGAACCCACGAGAGAACTTGTGATTAACTATTAACTAAATTAGACTATCCTAATTATCTAAACAAGAATTAAACCTAAAAGTAGTGATGCTAAAGTAATTAAACTAAAAAGAAAATAACTAATGAACTCTGAACAAAGGAATATTATATTTTTATGTTATTAATGTAATGAAAACGATCTAGGGTTATGGGCTATCTAATATTCCTATTGTATTCTTCAATTAAAATAACTAACTAATTTATCTAGCTCATTGGTTGACATGGTTAATGTAGCTCATAAGAATCTGTCGAGTCCTTACTCGCCTATTCAAGCTAACCTAATGCCTATATGTCTATGAAATTAGAACTAACAAGAACGCATTTATAATTCTTGTACATCAACCAAGCAAGGCAATTAGGTATATGTCTATCCTAACCGCGAATCCGTTCCCCGATGCCCAGGTTCAAGAACTTGGTCTACTCAATCCTATGTGCAATCTAGAATTCTCACTTTTCAGTTCAATTCTAGATTCGTAGATAGTATTCAATTGGTGATCAAGCAATTAAATAATTAAGCGCAAGATTGAATAAATAAACCAATATGATAAATCAAAAAAGCAAAATCAATATCCGAATAACAATAGTCATGAAAGAACCACAACCCTAGAACGTGAAGTTTAGCTCCACATAGACATGGTAGCAAAATAACAAATCATACAAAGAAACATAAAAATTACTAAGTTTGGCGGAAGAAAATATAAAACTCGGCCTCCACGGCGATTCTGTGCTCTCCCTAGGTCAAAAGTTTGTCCCCTCAAAAACGTTCTCTCTCCTCCAAAATAGGTTTAGGACCCCTTTTATACAAGTTAGGAGTGTATAGGGCCGAAATAATCAAGTCCTAGACGAAATAGGACAAGTTGACGTTTTGAACGTCCAGGCAGCGCAACTCGCTGGCCTTAGCGCTAGAAGCAGTACGTTTTTTCCGTTTTCACGTTCAAAGTCCTTCACTTCAAATTGTATTTCCCCTTTTCATTGTCCTACACTTGGGGGACAAAACCCAATCTCCCTCTTTTTAATTGATTTATTTCCTTTCTTTTTCTTTAGAGTTTTATCAATTTTGTTCTAAATCTCTTTATCTTCACACTGTTTTATTACTACACAGTTAAAATATAATATTAAACGTAAAACAATATAATTAATACTCAAAAGATGATTAAAAAATATTAGAATGCAAGACAATAATGGTTAAATATATGTATTTTTGGCCGTACATCAGTTATAATATTGTATTACATTACTGTTTTGCTAGTAAAGTCTGAATGGGATTCTTTTCAAAAAATTGGATGATTTCCTAGAAGATAGTTGACGCAATCAGCTCTTGAAGGAATGCAGCTCTCTGCCTCTTCTCTTCAAAATCCTCTTCCAGTGCTGGATCAGATACGAGCAGCTTCCTGCTGCACAAGAGAACAGATTTCTGTCATTCTACTGTTAACTTAGCACCACTTCCTTTATAACCATTTTTATTTAAGTATTGACAGTACACCATCAATGTTAATTAATATGTAATAGCGTGTTGCTTACTAATAATGTATTCTAACTCCATATTGTGGCGGACTCTCCAAAATCATGCCGCCATCCTCCAAAAATATACTACTTTTGAAGGATCCGACATGCATCCAACGACGTTCTCAGAGAGTCCAGGCAAAACATAGTTCTAAGTTATCTCCCTGATTGTCTATATAATCCTTACACCGTCAATGCGAAAAGAAATTTCCGTTTGGTGAGAGTGTTGCAGGTTAGAGATGATAAAGGGGATAAAAAGAAATATTAAAGACAAGTACAACCACAGCTGTTGACACTCGTTAGTACCTCAGCGTTCTAAAGAGTATGTCTCCAACTGTTCAAAATAGGCAATTTACGGAACAGCTATAGTTTTGTTCATAAGAAGATGGTAGCAACATATTCTACTTGCATTAACTGTCCAGTGTCAATGCATACACAAAATTTGGCCCTAAATATTGGAATCATTATTCATCTAGGCGAGCAAACAGAGATTGCCCTAAATTCTGATTCTTATCCTAAAATGCCGAGAGAGAATTCTATACATATGTACAACAAACGAACTCACCACTAGCAAAGAGAGGAAGCCCCAGTTTTTTAGCTGATGAATCACCAAAAGCAATAGCTGAACAGAAAAACTTAATAGGATATATAGCTTCGCTTTGGGTTGAGAAAGGCGAGACTACTCTATAGGTGGATTTTAAAGTTGGTTATAGTGACAAGGAATACAAAAATTGAAAAAGGTACAGACTGAAATTTCACACTTACTCAGGTATATTAAATTTCAGGTTTAGCATTTATTCCATTTTGTTTTATGAGGAAACTTCCATGTAAAAAAAGAGAACGAATGAATAAATAACTTATATGCATGTATATCAAAAGAAAGTTCATTAGACTAGTACCTTTCTATTTCAGTAGTAGCAGTGTCACAAACAGAAGACTTGTCTTGCCGCCTGCTTTCGGTATGAGTAGGAGGCACATTGCAGAGAAATGGCAATAGAAGTGGATCGGGAGCAGGTTCGTGCCCTTTGTACCGACCAACCCCTGAATTTGTCTCAAAATACGAAGCTATATCTTGAAGATCCTTCCCAATCATAGCCGTGGCATTATCCCTGTAGCCAGATTTTAGGTATTTTCTCCTTCTCTGGAAATGAGGTAGGGATCGCTTATAGATTCTTTATAGCCAAAACTATATATTTCAAAGGTCAAATATGTTTACCTTAACTGACTGTGCATGTTGTACAGAAAAATGTACAATAGGATCTTTTCCCAAACTTGCAGCACATATGGGACAGACCTGGAATTAGAAACGTCAAGTAGATTGATCAATTCATACAGATCTCCAGTACAAATGCATAGAAAAGATTGAAAAGTTTCACGTATAGTAGTGCAGTCTTACACTTCATTTTGCATATAACATAAGAAAAATATAGAGTATGTTAAAAGGATGTAATGTAAGGAAGCATCACTTGACATTACCGCGTTTTTTAAGTCAAAACAATGCTCATCTTGCAAATGGCAGCAAAGCATTGGCACTTCAATTTCCACATAACAGAAAGGGCAAGGGAACCAAGTCCTAACATCTTCTCCTCCTTCATTGTCCACATTCAATTGAGAATCTGTTTAATTTCCAAAACAAAGAATCATAAGGTTTGAAGTTTAGGAAATAAAACACATCATCACCAATCTAGTCTAGTATAAATAAGTGGAATAGCATGTCTTTATCCCCAAGGTTATATGTTTCAAGTCTTAATCTTTCCCCAAGGGAGTAGCATATGATCCCTCCTTGTAAATCTTGACTTATTCTGTCATCCAAGTTTTCACCCCTACCCATGGAGATACTACCAAATTGATAGAAAATGAAAGCCAAAGGTTCAAGCATCTTCCAAACTTCCAATTTCCTAAACAAACTTTCACATCCTAACCTCAGTCACTCCAATTTTTTCCCCCGTACCCCAAAATAATAAAGATACACCCCCCCCCCCCCC